GATGAAAATTGGCGAGCCTTCAAACTGTATGTCTCTGCAATGGGCCTGGAGACGAAGCCGGAGTCAATAAAGGTAGCCATGTTGCTGACCATAGCAGGACCACAGGCTTTTGGAGGTCTATAACACATTTGTGTTTGATAATTCAGAAGACAGCGAGAAGTTGGATGTTGTGCTCGATAAGTTTGATGCTCACTGTTCAAACAAGAAGAATGAATGTTTTGAGAGATATGTGTTTCGCTCCCGGATGCAGAATCAGCATGAACCCTTCAATAACTTTCTGACAGACTTGAAAGTGAAAGCCCAGTCATGTAATTTTGGTCTGCTGAAGGACTCGATGATCAGAGATCAAATCGTCTTTGGTGTACACGATGGGAAGCTCAGAAAGAGACTGCAGAGAGAAGTGGACCTGACTCTGGAAACTGCTATAAAGATGTGTCGGGCAAGTGAACTGTCTCTAAAGCAAGTGAGAACATTTTCTGAACTTTCAACTGGAACTACTTCACAGTTCAGTGACGGAGCAACGGCAGTAGGAGTGGTGTCCTGCCAGAGAAAACGGCATGCACAGAATGCACAAACACGGCAGCTGCAGGAGGATGGTGTCATCAACTGTAAGCGGTGTGGATCACGACATAAACTGCGACAATGCCCTGCCTATGGTAAGCAGTGTTTAAATTGCTGTGGAAAGAACCACTTTACAAAGCAGTGCTTTATTAAGAGGAAAAAAGAAAAGAAGAGGAATTGTATAAACTTAGTGGAGGAAACCGACCTAAGTGACACATTCTTTATTGGCATAGTGAACTGTGAAAATGAACCAGAAGTACAAAATGTTGCCAGAAAAGATAAATGGATAATTCCTTTGCTGATAAATGGAACTGCAATCAGGATCAGATTGGACACAGGTGCTAAGGCAAATCTCATAAGCATGTCTGACATAAAAGCAATGCAGAAAAAAAACTCACATAAAAGAAGCAAAGTTGGGCCTAAAAGACTATAATGGGCAACCTATTGAGTGCATTGGCACATGTCAGCTGAGTGTGACAGTTAAAGGGACAAAACATCTTGTGTTCTTCTCAGTTGTAAATGAGGATCTTGAGTCACTTTTAGGTGATAAATCCTGTGAAGAACTTGGACTGGAGAAAAGAGTCTATCACATAGATACTGAACTGAATGAATCTTATGACTCTGTTGATGCAGTGCTTCAAGATTATGATGATGTCTTTAAAGGATTAGGTGCTTTACCCTGCACGTACAAGATTCAGCTGAGTGAGGGAGCTCAGCCTGTTGTGCACGCTGCACGTCGCATTCCAGCACCACTGCGAGAGGGGTTGAAAAAGGAGTTGGAAATAATGACCATGTTGGGAGTCGTTCGAAAGGTGGAAGAGCCCACAGATTGGGTTAATTCCATAGTGGTCACAAAGAATAATAATGGAGAGTTAAGGATATGCATGGATCCAAAAGACCTAAATGAGAACATCATGAGAGAACATTATCAGATACCCACTCGTGAAGAAATAATCTGTAAAATGGCTGGAGCAAGTCATTTCACCAACTAGGATGCATCACAAGGGTTATGGCAAGTAAAGCTGGATGAAAGTAGCATTAAGTATTGTACTTTCAATACACCTTTTGGAAGATATTGTTTTCTTAGACTCTGTTTTGGAATAAAATCAGCACCTGAAATATTCCATAGAGCGATGGAACGGATCATTGAGGGCTTGGAAGGAGCAAGAGTCTACATCGATGACATCATCATCTGGGAATCAACAGCTCAAGAACACAATAACTGACTGAGTGTCATGGAGCGCATACAGAAGAATGGACTGAAACTCAACAGGAGCAAATGTGAGTTTGGAGTTAAGAAATCATGTTTCTTGGAGATAAATTGTCGGCAAACCAGACGGGGATAAAATAAACGCAATATTGAAGATGCCACAGCCCACAGACAAGACTGGTGTCCTACGTATTATGGGGGTGATCAATTTCATAGGAAAATTTATTCCCAATCTGAGTGCAAAGATGACTAACATCCGCAAACTCTTATACAGTGACAGCCAGTTCAAGTGGACAGAAGATCATGAACAAGAGTGGAAGGAGCTTAAAAATATTTGACCACTGAGCCAGTGCTAACCTTCTACGACCCTAAGAAAAAATTAAAGCTGCAAGCATCATTGGAGGCCCTCACTGCAAAGCGCCATTCCATCCTTATGGCGACTGTGGGAGCTGCAGCTAGTCCACCCATTCGTCATTGCAAACAGTCTCGTGCCAAACCCGAACGCGTTCACTACGGAGAGCATTTCCCGAATGTTCGACATTGCTTTCCGTCCATGTCAGTACTTGTCCAGCTTCAGGTCTTACAAGTATAGGCGAAATCCCAACTTCCAGACAGGCGTTATTGTGACTTGCTGTTTTGTGGCAAATGTTTTGACGAGCACTTCCTTTATGCTTTTCAACATGTCATGTGTGGTAATGAACAATTAGCGAACAATGTTTCAGTCTAATATGTTACACAGGGCGAAGCTGTAAGAGTCATCCAATAATCAAGAGTTTTTTCTCTGAGTAGGTGGGGCTTAAGTCATGTCATGAATCAACAATACCAATGTGTCTCCATGTGCTCACTGATCAAGCACAAAACAATCAGGTCCAGATCAGATAATGTATCACTAAGAATCAGAATCAGAATAAACTTTATTGGCATTGCACCAAGATACATCAAGAACATGTAAGTACAGTCGTCCGAAAGATGGGTGGAGTGCACGAAGCTGCGGCTATAAATAGCGCGGTCTTTCTTATTCTTATTCAGAATAATATTTTGCTTGGATGAGAAAACGGAAGAAAACATGAGGAGAGACGGTATTAAAAAAGATCTCTCACACCGTTTCCTAGACAGGGCACGATTTGAGGCATCAAAAAAACCTACCACAGCAAAGCAACATAAACAGACGTTATACATGAACATATAGGCCGGTGAAGACATTGAATTTTTAAGGGAAAGTCGTAGCATAGTCCAGAGCCCCCCCTCTCAGCCATTGTCTAGATAAGAGGTGACATTCATCATCAGCTCGGTTGAGGCTCTGTCACAAGTCCATGGCCTTCTGGAAGGGAGGGGTGAGGAGACAGACAAAGCATCTTTGTTGTTTTCAAAACATTCCAGGAGGAGTTGAGATAAGTCCAGCGTCAAGGCCACAGTTTGGGTCAGGCAGAACTCGTGAATTGTTGTTTCTGCCTTTTTAAAGTCTCGCTGGTAAATATTCCTCTGATGGAACTCCAAAATAGCCGAATTGATCCTTTACGCCAAAAGTCGAGCTCACAGCATTCTCCAAGATTATTCCCACCGTTCATGGGTGCTGCCAGAAAAGTACACAGTCCTGATAACAGTCTGTTCCAGCTCCCTGCTGCACTTCCCCAAATTCAGTCTGAGTGCTGTTGAGTTTCGACACTTCCACACAAATTTATAGACAATCCAGAATTCACCAGCCAAACAGCAAAAAAACAGTTGTCATCATGAATCCAATTTGTTTCCGTCGAGGTAAGAGGGTCCTCCTTATGCCCT